GCGGGAGATGTCCCGGAATCAGCAGCACATCCTGAGCAGCTGCTGCCACCCCCTATCTCTGCCTCACCCCTCGTGTCTCCTTGTGGCTTCTGAAGTCCCCAGAGACACCAAAACGCCCTGCCAGGCTGGTGGGGAGGGGTGGCAGGACCCCAAAAGGGCTGCAGGGGTTTGGTGGGTTCAGTTCTGGGTGGGGAGGGGTGAGAGGATGATTTTTAGGGATGTGGCTCATTCCAAAGTCAAGAAAAGCCATAAAAAAGCCAAATTTTTTTTGAGGGAGGAGGGGAAAAAAGGGTCCTTGAAAGAAACCCAATGTTATTCAAGTGGTTTAAGAAAGCTCCCTCTCCCACCAGCCTTTTGCAGGATTTCTTCCTGAGAAGCCTCCCCTTCCCCTGAAGAGCCTTTTTAATTTTTTTTTTTGCAGCACAGATGAATAAACCCCAGGCTTTGTTCTTAGCAAGGATCTTTTATCAGCTCCTTGCCCTGATAGCACCAATTTTCATTTCATCTGCAAATGGGGGTGGGGAACTGATCTGATCAAACAAGAACCAGCCCAAACCCAAGCTCTAAACTCAGCTTGAGCTGCTGAGAGGGTCCAATGAGTTCACACAACTTCCTGCATTTCATCCATCCCCATTCCCTCTGTACTTCCAGGATCCCACTGGGAAGAAAAAAGGGACTTTTCATCAGCCTCCAGGTTCGGATTTAGGGATTTTCTCAAAGTGAAGCAGCAGCAGCTTAAAATGACAGATTTAATGAGCAAGAGAAGGTGACAACAGTCGCTGTCACCCCTGTTATTGTCACCCATCCTGTCACACCAAGGAGCTGCTCAGCTCTGACAGTCAAACCCTGCTCTCCAGCTCTTTCCCCAAAAACCATTTCAAAATTCAACCCATTTTAGGTGCAAAGACCCCCAAGGCTCCTATTTCACACCTCTATCAGTCAGGAAATCCCAGCAGCAGAATTTGTCCCTCACCCCACCATGGGAAGCATCTCCAAACCCCCTCAGTCTGGCCTGGGAGGATTTTCACCGTGGATGAGATTCAGAAAAATTTGGATAAATCCCCTTGTCCATCAGAAATTGGGAATTGCTCATAAAGGAGCCCAAACCCCGCTGGGATCAGCAACCTCTGGTGCACAGCCAAAGTTTGCCAAACTTCCCCATTATCGTGCTCTGAAGCAGAGCCAGGCCAGGACCCTGCAGGAATGGCTCTGGATGCTCCAATCCAGGTGGGAATCCCAGCCCAGGGAGCAGCAGGATTCCTTCCCCCTGTGGTATCCTGCCATGACACTGATGTCCCTGTGAGCAGGGGTGGCTTCCCCTCCCAGCCCCCGCCTCTGATCCCTGGAAAAATCCAGGCAGGATTGGAATGGGCTCCTGGCCTCTGCAGAACAGCCAAATGTGGATACAGGGCTCGGAAAATGGGGATAATTCTGGGATTGCTGCAGTTGGATTATGTATTTGCACCTGCCTGATCGAGGACGAGCTGGAAAAGGGAGATTCCAGAAGGCTCTGGTGAGGAATCCATGGCAGGAATGAAGCAGAGGCTTCGTGTCCCTGCTCCTGGGGTCTCTCCAGGCAGTTTTTGGGATCCCTTAAAGGAATTCACGGCAGGGATGAGGCCTCTCTCGTGTCCCCATTCCCAGAGTCTCCCCAGGCAGTTTTCAGGATCCCTTCAGGGACCAGCTCATCACCATCCCTGGATAAAGCAGGAGAGGCTGGAGCAGCCCTGGCTGTGCAGAATGTGTGGATCTGACAATTCCCAGCATCCCTGATCCCAAGGAATTGCTCCAGTGAGTGTCCTATCCAGCCTCTGGAATGTCCAAAGTGACACTGGCCAGAGAACTTGTCACCCTCTGCTCTTCGGGAGGACAGGTGAGGAGCATTCCCATTTTCTGGAAGAATCCAAGGAATTGAGGGGATTTAGGGAGTGCAGAGAGAGCAAAACCTGCAGAGCTCCTCTGTTCTGTCAGCAACCCAAAATCTGCTTTTCCACAGAAAATAAAGTTCTGAGCTGCACAATAGAAAAAAAAACAAAAACAAAAAAAACAAAAAAGGGAAAAAGCAGCTTGGATCCATCTCCTCATCCCTTTGGATCCCAGAACTCCAGGCAGGGGGATGGGAGGGAGCAGAACATTCCCTGAGTCACCGGTGGGGCTGGGAACAGCCTGGAGCTGGGGGTGAAATTCCTGCTGGATTAGACTTGGATTAGATCAGGAGCTGGTGGGATGGGAAGGAACAGATTTGACATCAGTGGGTGTTGAAATTAAAGGCCCAAAGCAAAAATCCATCAAATCCTGGAAGCAGGAATGATGTCTGATATCCCAGTCTGGCCACAGAGAACTCCTGGCGTCTGCTGCAGGCTCATCCTGATGGAGCAAAACTTCCAGAAGGAGCCATGGGGTGTCCATGCCATGCAGGATTCCCTAGGAATAGCTGGGAGGAGTCTCCTGCCTGTCAGGGGTGGCTGTGGATGAATTCCAACTCTCCCAAGAGTTTTCCAGTGAAGCTGGATATGGAGCACACAAAATTCCCTGTTTATCTCCTGCTGCCCTGCATTCCCAGCAGCTGGAATTTGTTGCTTTGTGGGAACAGCTTCTCCCCTGTGGTTATTTAGAGGTTTGGATAAACATCTCTGAGTTTTCCTCTGGAAAAATTCCCCCCTGGAATATCTTAACTCCCACCCTGAGAGGTGTTTGGCATCCTGGAAACTCCTCCTCACTTTCTGTACCTGTGGCATCTTTGAAAATTCAAAATTCCAGCTGGGAGCACTCAGAGCTTGTCTACATCCCACACCTCGCTGGGAATTCCTTTCTGGATCAGATTCCTCCTCCAAATAGCAAATCTAGAGAGAAAACTCCAAGACTTTCACTTCCAGAGTCTTTAATAACCACAAATTGCAGCCAATAACACTTTAACAAGCAAATAATCTCCCTCAAGTATAAAAAAAAAGTCTCAAAACTCTAAATAAAATATAAAACCCAACAGCCCCGTGGATTTAAACTCTTCATGTTGGAGTTCTTATTCCTGGAGAAAAAACAACCCCAAACATTCCCAGAAATTCAGTTTATTCCCTGCTGGCCCAGCAGAAGCTTTCTGAGCACATCAAGTGTTTGTCACCGTCAAACTGCAACCAAAATCCCTCAGATTTGGTTATCCAAGGAATTTGGGGGGCTCAGAGGAATTTTCAATCTCAAGTGGGAGGAGGGTGGATTTGGGTGGATTTTTTGGGGGGATTTTCACAGCTGAGGGCTGTGAAAACTCGGTGCTGCCGATTTGGTTTCTGGATGGAGAGGCTCAGAAATCAGAATATCTCGGTCCCAACGTGCCCTCTGCTGGCAGCGGCGCTGGAACGAGGAAATCCCGGGAATGAGGAGGGAACCAACCACTGCAGCTCCATCCTTTAATCCAGCACACCTCTGGGAAGCCACAGTGGGATTTCAGGGCCAGGAGATTAAACGGCTCCAGGTTTTCCTCCGAAAAATTCCCCATTGGAATTCGCACCCTCTGAGGCTTTTTGCATCCTGGAAACTCTTCCCCACTTTCTGTGCCTGTGGCAACTTTGGGAAATTGGAATTTAAATTCCCAATGGGAGCACTCATGAAATAGGGATGGAAACAAGGAGCCAGCAGGGTTTTTTGCTTCCAAATGGTCCCTTTAAAATGGGATTCATAGATTCATAAAATCATGGAATTGTTGAGGTTGGGAAAGCCAGGAAATCCTGGGAAAGATGGAACCAACCACAGCAGCTCCATCCTTTAATCCAGCACATCTCTGGGAAGCCACAGCAGAATTTCAGGGCCAGGAGATTAAACTGCTCCAGCCTTTCTTCTGAAAAATCCCCCACTGGAATTTGAACTCCAAGAGGTTGTTCTGCATCCTGGAAACTCTTCCCCACTTTCTGTGCCTGGGGGAAAATTGAATTGAAATTCCCAATGGGAGCACTCATGAAATAGCCCTTGGAGTGCCAAAGGCCCCTGACAAACCAACATCAGGAACCTGGGGGGGTGAGTTTGTTATTCCCTGGAAAAGGACAAAGGGCTGCCCATTGTGTCCCATTGCCATGAGCGGAATTCTGCCTCTGAAAATTAGAAATGGAGCAGGATTCCTCCCAAACCCAAGCTGTCCCCACCTAGAACTCAGGATGCCCTTGGAGTGAGAAACTCTGGAAGGAGGAGGATGGGGATGGTGTTGAAGGTGGTCTAGCCCACCTAGTTCATGTCCAGGGCCCGTGGCTGGGAGCGGGCCCCTGCCTCCGAAAATTACAAATGGAAAAAGATTCCTCCCAGACCCAAGGCGTCCCCATGTAGAACTCGGGCTGCTCTTGGAGTGCCAAACACCTCTGACACTCTGACATCAGGATCCTGGGGGTGAGTTTTGTTTCCCCTGGAGAAAATCCACCGTTCATGTCCAGAGCCTGTGGCTGGGAGCGGGCCTCTGCCTCAGAAAATTACAAATGGAAAAGGATTCCTCCCAGATCCAAGGCATCCCCATGTAGAACTCGGGCTTCTCTTGGAGTGCCAAACACCTCTGACACTCTGACATCAGGATCCTGGGGGTGTGAGTTTTATTTAAGACATGGAAAAAGGCCGCTCTCTGTGTCCAGGGGCCTGAGCAGGCCTCTCCTCACAGCGGGAAGCTGGGGACAGCCCCCCCCAGCCCTGAGCTCCCCAGCAAGGATCTGCAAGGCAGATGTTTGGAGCTATAAAGGTGTTTTCCAGCCAAAATCGCTCTGCAGCAGCCTGGCCTCATGTCTGAAGCTCATTTCCACCCAGAGCAGGTGGGGTGTGGGGTCGGGCTGCTGTGAGAACACCCCCCACATCCCTGCACTCATGGAACAGCAGCTAATTGAACTGTTTATTTACACTGTAAATAAACATTTACATACATTGTAAATAAACCTATTTATTATATACACTTTATATATTATATGTACTTCCTGTATTATGTAAACACTTCCCTTTACTAGAGATAGGGCAGATTATTAAAACCCAGACGGAGCTGTCATTACAATTGCAGGTTTATTATAATCTCTGGTCCCATCACAAGACAAATGGCCTGCACAGAGCTTCCCTTTCACTGGATGGTGCAGAAAAAGAATTTAAAAACCAGCCATTTATTTCTGTACAGTTATTTGTCCTTGGGGCACAGACAGACTGGGTCCACTGCCATGGACCCATGCTTGAGAAGGAAAGCTGGCATTTTTGCTTTGCTAGGACAGAGGCTTTGAGGTTTTCCTGGCCAGGAGAAAAGTAATTAGGCAGTGAAGGGGTTGTTCCCACTAATGAGGGAATGTTCCCAGTGGGATGGACTGGAGAGTGAGTGGCTCTCACCACATTCATGCCTGTTTGTACCACCAAAATTCACTTTCCACTCCGTTCCTCCCTAGCTGTGCCCTGCCAGCGTGGCAAACGGATCTAAATGTGAAGCTTTAAAAGGCATAAAGTGATCTACAAACTGAACCTAAAAATTAACTCACAACTCATCGACTCCTCATGTGACCAAACCTGTGGCCGATTGATAAATTTTGTCCTGGCCACTTCAGCATTAGCACAAATTACAAAGTCATAAAAAATCCTCAGCCAGCATCATGATCCAACACACAGAGGATGCTTCTTACAATGCCAGTGCCACCAGTCAGCTGTAGGTGGCGATTTTTAGCTCCTTTTCAAGTTTCTGGATCTCCAGGTAGAGTTTCTGGACTTCCAGCAGGGTTTTCAGTTCTGACAGAGGAATTCCACACTGGAAAGCTGCTTTGTTTCGAAGAATCCTCTCACACACATCACGCTTCTTCTTTAAAACAACCAAAACAAAGGCAGAGTGAGAGTCCAGTGAGGGGTGACAGAGCAACCGCCACCGTGAAGCTGGACCAAAGCTATTCCAGGCTATAAATGGGGCAAGAAACAGGAAAAATGGGGCAAGAAAGGGGAAAAAGGGGGCAGCTGGTGGTACTTACACACGAGGGTGGTGGTGTCCAGGTGCCATCAGCTGAGCAGGTGGTTTTGGAAGCTGCCCCATCACGTTTGCAGTGGAAGGACACCGTTTCGTTCACCTCGTACCACAGCTTGTTGAAGTGAACCACGATATCCTCCTGCCTCGGGAGCTGGGAGCACCGAACTGGGGGGGAAACGCACACAAAACATCAAATAATGGGAGGAGATGGAGGAAAAACCACCCTGCAAACTCCCCCTGTGGGCCAGCAGAGCAGCGCCCGGGCTGCGCAGGGCAGGGCTGGCACTCACCTGGCTGGCAGGTGGGCAGGGGAGGGCCCCAGGTGCCATCAGCCAGGCACTGGCTCTGGGCAGCACCGTGCAGCCTGAAGCCTTCGTCACAGGAGAAGTGCAGGAGCAGCCCGTAGGGAAAGGTGAACGTCTGTGGGGTCATCCTTGCCCTCTCCACCACGGGCTTGGGGCACCGGATCACTGCGGGACAGAGCAGAGGGAATGGGCTCTGGGGACAGCAGAACCTGGGCAGAGCTGCTCCTCCTGCTGCTCTCTGCAGCAGCTTCCTGCTCAAATGCAGGAATTGACCCTCAGCCTCCTGCAGCAGCGCTCAAAGGCACACTGAGGAGTCCTGGTGTCACACAGGAGCTGCACTGGTTCATCCACTCCGGGCTGGGAGCTCCTGGACCGGCGTTAAGCTGATTCCACACTCACCCCTGCACTCCGGGGCAGGTCCACTCCACACCAGGCTCTTCCCATCATCTGAGCTGCAGTAGATGGACTCGTCCCCCACGAGGGACAGCCCCTCTTCACATTTGTAGGTCACCTTGGTGCCATAAGGGAACTCCGTGTAACCCCTGTCAGAGTGGTACCCAAAGGAGATCTGTGGAGGGGGCCCACAGACTGTGGAACAAAGGGAATTGATAAAGAAAGGCACATGCAGTTGTCATCTTCAGGTGAGAATCAAAAGCATTTCTGTGAAACCAGCACAAAGGTCACTTCTTGGGTGGTGTGAGGCAAATTCACAAGCTGCTGCCTGGATTCTGGCCTCTAACAGCAGCTCAGGGATCCAGAAATATCAGGATATTTCCAGTGGTGGCCTCCCCACTCCTGGGGGCCATGGTGGGATTCAGTCAAAGCCTGGACCTGATGATGTTGGAGCTATTTCCCAACCTTAATGATTCTAATTCCAGCTCTGGGGAGGGGACACCTGGCTGAGCTCGTGTCCCCAGGAGCAGGTGCTGCAGGCAGATCAATCTGTCCCCTGAGTGTCACACGTACCTTTGTCACAGAAGGGCAGCACGGGCTCCCAGCTCAGATCAGCCCCACAGGTGATGGATGCCTGGCCCCTGAGGGCAAAGCCCTCCTGACACTCCAGCCTCACCCGGGCCCCCACAGGGTAGTCACTCCTGCTTTTACCAACCTCCTTTCCATGAGGGATGTCTGGCTCTGGGCAGTGTGGCTCTAGGAATAACAGGGAATAAAGGATGTTGTGTACTTCCAAAAAGAACTCCAGTCATGCTCTCTGTGGAGAAGAGCTACCAACAAATCTGATCCCTGGTAGAAAAGAGGCCATCCCCAGGTGTGGGTCTCAGGCTGCCTCTGTGACCCTAGAGGGTCAGTACAGGGAATTGGCCATGCTCTGCTGGCTGCCCTGGGAAGTGGAGCAGGTTTTTCCCTCCTGGCAAGGTTTTCCTGAGCTTTTGTGGCTATTGTTGTGGTTTTGAGTCAGGAGTTGGAGCAGTATTTACACTCATTTTCTCCTGACAGGGGAAATGCCTTGGGAACATCCTGTGCTCCCCAGCCTTGTGTCAGCAAAGCAGCCCCAAACACATCCCCTTCCAGCTGGGTAAATGTCTCCCAGGGCTTCTCAGCAACCTTCCAAGCCTCTAGAAGCTTCCAACACACCACCCTTGCACCCCTGCAGACACCAGCTCAGCCCTGCCAAAACCCTGCCCTTTTTCTGTGGGGCCCATCTGGATCTTTTGCCGCCTGTATATTCCACATTATCCCAGGAGAAGTAGATGTGGAGCCATCTGGAGTGGGGGAAAGCTCTCCATGACTTCTATCATGGTCATCCCTCCCCTCTGTCCCACCTGGAATGCACTCTGGCACTGCTGGATCCCATCCACCATCGCTGCCACAGCGGAGGGTGATGCTGCTGCCACGGCCTTCAAATGCAAATCCTTCACTGCACGCCACTTCCAGCCTGTCTCCGTACTCATAACCCTCTTTCACTTGCCATGGGTGCAAGGCCTTTCCATTTGGGATGTGTGGATCTGGGCAATGAATTCCTGGGAAATGCCAAACATTAGCAAGGGTGAAGCCATGGCAAAGCCAAGTGGGTGACAGGAAAATGATTGTGAAGACGAGGATGGATGTCTCGTAGGACACAGACACATCGTAATATTAAATCTGCCCCAAAAGCATCCCTGGGGGGATTTTTTGGGGGGTGGAATGTTTCTGGTGCACCCTCAAGACCACAATGTTTTGCAGGTGTTCAAGGGACCTGAAAGCAAAACTGGCAAATAAAGCAAAGTAAACTCTGCAGCTGGAGAATAAATCAAGAATTCCAGAATCAGCAAAGACCAAGCTGGGCCCTGGGGCATCCCCCTGACCCCCAGGCAGTCCCCACCCCACCAGGCACTCACTTTCACACGGAGGAGGGGGCTCACTCCACACAAAACCCTGCAGGCAGCTGATGTTCCAGGTGGTTTTCCCCACGCTGAACTGGTGGCCATGCTGGCACTCGTAGGTGACCACGGTGTCCACAGGGAACAGATTCCCAGCCAGCCTGGCTTTCACAGCATTCCTCACATCCGGGGGCTCATCGCAGCTGCCTGGGGGTGAGACTCCAGTTTAGGGGCAGTGGAGCATCACAAGGCCTGGGCTGGAGGGAATTGGGGTAAAAACCATGGGCTCACATTGTTCATTCTGAGATGCATTGAATCATGCGGGTTCAGGAAGGGTAAAGAGGGAATGCAAAGGAGACAAATGAAAACATACAAATTTTTTTTTTTCCCCCTGGAGAGAGACTTGTCACAAGGGCATGGGGTGACAGGACAAGGGGGAAGGGCTTTAAGATGAAGGAGGTTGGGTTTTGGTCAGAAATTCATCCTGATGAGGGTGATGCCCAGAGCAGCTGTGGCTGCCCCTGGATCCCTGGGAGTGTCCCTGGCCAGGCTGGACAGGCCTTGGAGCAGCCTGGGACAGTGAAAGGTGTCCCTGATGTGGCAGGGGTGGGTGGGATGGGCTTTAAGGTCTCTCCCAACCCAAACCATTCCAGGACTCTGAATTTGGACCACACAGCAATTTTCACCGTTACAATGATCTGTAATTCCCGATCCAGGGGATGCTCTCTGAGCAGATGGGGGTCCCAGGGGCTGCTGGCCCTGCACACTCACTGCGCTGGCACACGGGCAGGGGGGGCTCCCAGAGGTCGCTGTCCCTGCAGCTGGAGGCCCCGCTGCCGCTGAGGCTGTAGTGCAAATCACAGTCGAACACCACGGTGTCCCCAAAGGTGTAGTGGGGCCGGTACCCGCTCAGCAGCTTCCCATTCTCCACTCTCGGCTGCTTACAGGTCACCACTGGGCCGGGGGAAGCACGCAGGCAATCAGCAGTTAGGCTCCAGAGGGGATATGAGGGATTTGAAAAAGTCCCTGTCGCCTTTTGCCACCAAAAGGGCTGAAAAGGGCCAGGACAGGGTGATGGGGTGGGTTTGTAGGCTTTACCCTGGGTTACTGCAGGGCGTTTTAGGGCAAAGCAAAGAGAGAACACAGGTTTGGAAATGTTTTGCAGCTCTTCTATTTTCCAGCAGGTGAGAGGGATCTCCTGCCCTGTGAGCACAGCAAAATCCCACTCCCACATCCCTGCTGCCACAGTCAGCGTCAGAGGAGACCCTAATTCCTGTCCCACCTGCAAGAGGTGATTCCATTCCAGCAGGATGAAGGAGAGAGGAGGTTCCAAGGGAGGAAGCAGCAGAGCAGGAGCAGGCAGCAGTGCAGGGGCAGGGATGTGGGAACAGCTCACCTTTGCATTCCGGAGCTGGGCTGCTCCACACACCGTTCACGTTATCCGTGGTTGTGCAGATAATTGTGGCCTCTCCCACCAGGGAGAAAGGTCTCTGCCCCCTCCTGGGGCTGTGGCACCAGTAGGTGACAGAATCCCCGTACACAAAATGCTCCTTGTCCATCCCACTGTGCTGCCCATTTGCGATTTCTGGAGGGGGTGCACAGGGAATTGCTGTGGAAGGAGGGGAAGGTCATCATAATAAGGATTAAATTCATTTTAAATCAAAGATCTGGCCAGAAAAAGGTGGAAACAGGAGGTGGCAGAAGGGTCAGAAATCAAAGGCAGGTCTTGAGGAGCTGCACCAGCCCCAGGCTCTGACTGGGCACTGAGGAGGTTTGGGATATCCCAGGCTCAAATGCAGCTGCATCACTCCCAGAGAGTGAATGAACATTTCTGCAGGAAGGGAAACACAGATTAAAAAATGTCTTTCCAGGCTCCACCGTGCACTGAGATGGCAAAATCCTCAGCAGAGCAACACAACAGCTTGTTTATCCAGCCCCAGCCACACCCCAGATAATTAAAGAATAGGTAATTAAGGAACTCTGCTTACCCTGACAGGTGGGAATGTCTCTGTTCCATGTGAGAACCTCGTTTCTAAGCACACATTCAATCTCAGAGTGTCCAGTCAGTCTGTACCTGTGTGAGACAGGGGAGAGGGAATTACTCCACAAACTCAGTCCTGATGTGTTACCCACATCACCAGCAGGAAGGTTTGGGCCCCTTTGTCAGAATTCCAGCAGATCAGAAATCCATCATCAGTGTCATTTTCTCAAGGACAAGCAGCCTTTTGACAAAAGCACTCTTTAAATTTAAAAAAATGACACGTTTCTAAGGAAAAGAATATACTTTGTTAACTACTTACACCTCTGAGCTCAGTATTCACATCTTTCCTTCAAAAAGACACTGAAACTTTGGGAATGGTTTTTGGGAAGAGCCAGGAGGGTGAACCTGAGTTTGGGAAGAACTTCCTCAAAGCAGGAGATCAAGACACTCACAAGCAATCTTAAAGCTCCCAAAGGAAAGCTCAGAAGGTATTTTCTGCAATTATCTACAGATATTTATTAATTATCTATCTACAGATATTTATTAATTAATTATCTATTAATGGGGGAGGCTCTGACAGGAAAAAACTTTGGAAAACTGTCTGGGGAGGAGGAAAGCCTGTGGCTCAGGTGCTCCTGGCTTACCCAGTGTCACAGGTGAAGTTCACTGTGGAGCCAAAAGTGAAGGATCCGGGCAGGAGCAGTCTGCCGTGGGCCGGCTCCCCGGGGTAGGTGCACGCCTTGGCTGGGGACAACAGGGCTCCAGTCAGCTCCCAGCTCAGTTTCTTGGCAGGAAAGCCAAAGAGTCTCCCAGTTGTGAGGCAGGGGATGGATCAGAGACCTCCAGATCTCCCATCCAACCTGAGGTTATTCCGTGACTCCCGATGCTGGCCTGACCTGCCTCTGGGGTTGGCAGTGACCTGTGGCAGTGTCTCTGCCCAGCTAAAGGATTCTCCCTCTGACAGTGAGCTGACAGTGGTCAAATAAGAGATTTTTAGGCTTCAGGCACTAGCTTGAGCCTGTGGGAAAGTCAAGTACACAACTTTCTCACTCTGGCCTGGGAAATCATAAAGAGGAATCCAAGCAGGCCTTAGAGAAGGAAAACAACCTTTGCAGGTGTTGTCTCCTTGTTTACTTGCAAGAAATGGTCGAGGGTGTTGTTCCTAACTGCCCAAGCATGGTGATGTGTTGATGACCAATTAAAGTTTTACCTTTTTGGACCTTCTTGGAACTGTCTATAAAAGAAAATCTGGAAGAATAAAAAGTGCTCTCTTTTGCAACTAAACCTAGAGAGTCTGTGCCATCACTTCACCGTTCCTAACAGTGTGACACCTCTGCATCTCACAACTGTTTTTCTAGACACGAGAGTTCAAAATGCCTGAGCAGAAAGACATCTTTGGAGCCAGCAGTGGAGCACAGCCAGCACCAGAGCTGACTGCAGCTCCTGCCAGCACCCAGAGGAACAAAACTTCCCTTCAGGTCACTCATTGCCACCATCCCCAGGGCCGCCTTTGGACACTGCTCCAACAGAAGGAGCTGAGAGCATCAGCAAACAAAACCAAAAGCCACAGAATCGGTTTGGGTTGGGAGGGAGCCTGAAGATCACCTTGTCCCAACACAAGGGCAGGGACACCTCCCACGGGAGCAGGGACACCCAGAACACACTCACGGATGCAGATGTCACTCGGTCCGTGCCACACCCCATTGGCTCCGCAGACGAGGACATTTGGAGTGTAAGCTTTTCTCCCGTAGCCTGGCCGACAGACCAGCTCCATCCTGAATCCATAGGGGAACAGCTCAATGTCCTCCAGCTGATCCTTGGGCTCTGCCGACTGCGACCGCGGCGGGGCCGCGCAGAGACCTGCGGACACAGAGCCCACCAGAAACGTGCTGGGAGAAAAACCAGCGGGGTTCCAGGCCTGATTCACCCTGGGGCTCCAGGGGAGGACCCCTCAGGGCTCCAAATTCTCCTCAAGGCCAGAAGCAAAGAGAAGTGCAGCCTGTGGCTGGCGGGGATCTGGAGGAGCTTCACCATTCCTGCTCCTCACACCTCAGCCAGCAGATTCAGCCAGACACAAAGTCCAGATGAAGCATTTCTTCTCCCCATTTAGTATAAATTATTGCACTTTTTCAGCTGAAATAGTTTGGTATCTGTTTCCCACAGAAAGGGAAAAAAAAGGCAAAGGAAGATGGATTCTGACCACAAAGATTTACAGAGCCCTTGAAAGGCAAAGGCAATGAGGAAAACAGCAGGATCCAAGTCTTGTAAAACCCAGGAGAAAGTTTTCCTTTGGGAATCTCAGTTCATCCTGATGGACTCGTTCACTTACTGTGGACAGTCACAATGAGAGCAGCAGTGAGGAGTGACCCAAGGACAGTTGCACAATTCCTCAGCCTCCCCAGCTTCAAGGCTGACATGTTTATTCCTGCCTGGAGATCCCACAGATGTTACCACATTCCCCTCCTGAGCCAGTATCTGTGAAGACAGCAGAGGGGTATTTAGGGGTATTTATACTCAGCTGTATGCACAGGTCTGATTTCTCCACCCCTGAGCAGTTCCTACAGTCACAGGAGAGGAGCAGAAGGAGCAGGAGCTGAATTTCTTTTCTGGAAAATTATGGGTAAAACACTTTATTTGTAGTAATAAATCTCTTGGAAGTAAAGTCCTAGTCAGAAGAAATCCTGCTGGAGTCACCAGTAGAGCTCCCTAACAGTGAATTACCTCAGAGAGAGAGAAAAGTATTTAAGCAAAAAGTTCATCAGTTCTGTGCAAGTATTACCTGAGTCAAGCTGTAGAGCTCACAAGTCAATCAAACCAAACTGCTTTACAAAATGGAATTTAAGTGCAATTTGCACTCACCTGGCACCCCTAGGGATCTGTAAGAGCCCTCTCTGTGTTATCCAGGGTCATTCATGAGCCTGAACCCTCCCAAACCTCCTGGAAACGAGGGTCCCCCTCACAGCTCCCTGCCCTAAACCCAACATTTCCCATGCCTGTTTCACCCCTCTGCCTTTCTGTCAATCCTTGCCACACCTCCTGCTTTCACCTGATTTAATTTCCAGACCTTTGTGCCTGCTGGAGCCGCACAGAAGCTCCAACCCAGCTCTCGGGAGCAGCACTTGGAGCTGCCTGGCTGGGAATTGTCTTACCTGGAGGTGTGGAGGCAGGAGATGGGAGAGCCCAGGAGTGTTCAGCACTTGCAGGATGAAACGGGGACTGCTCTCCTCCAGTCCCCCAGGCTCCAGCCCCAGGCAAAGGAGGAGTTTTGTAACACCCACATGCTCAGATCTGGCCCCAGGAAGCTTCAAATCTGCAGAAACCAACCAGAGTTGGCCCTTTGATCCATAAATCATTAACTCCTTCCGAGCAAGAAGGAAGGGGTTTATTCCAGCCCCAGAGCAAAACACTACAAAACTGAATGCAACCCAAGCAGATGTTGAAATTGTTTGGTTTTTACGTGTGGAGGTGCCAAGTCTTTAAAATGATCCTTGCTCAGCTGCTCCACTGGGACCTCAGGCACAGTGTGGGAAGTCCTCAGAGCTGCTTCACCCTGAGTTTATCTCCTCTGACCTCAGAAAGCCATGGCCAGCATTCCAAAGGGGTTTCTTCAGCCAACCCCACCTAATCCCATGGAAGCAGCTCCAGCTGGAGCAGCACAGGAGGTCCCTGGGAGCATCGCTCAGAGCTGAACATGCAGAGCATTCCAGAACAGTTTGGTTGGAAAGGACCTTAAAGCTCAGTTCCACAGAAACCCTGAGATTCTGAACTCCAGTAAAAACACCCTTAAAGCTGAGGAGAGAAGGAGAACAGCAGTAGGGTTTAAGAGTCCCCGTTTTCAACTCAAATTCCCAAACCAGAGGACACCTGCCCACCCCTGCAGCCCCTCTTCCTCCAAACACATCCCAGAGACTCCCTGAGCGCCACACCTCCTCAGAAAACCAGCACACAGCAGAGAGTTAGAGCAAACAATGGAAAATAACAGAGGAAATGCTCTGTGTTTTTTTAAGTCTCTTTATTGCAAATAAACACTGACAGATATTCACACTCAAGTGCACAGAGCACACAGCACGAGCTGACAGACACTGCAGCGTTTTAAAACCTAAAAAAATAACCCGCTCAGAAGGCAGCAGAGCAGGAAAGTTTACAAACAGCTGGGTAAAATCCCTCTCACCAAACACTCCAGACAGAGCTGCAGCTGCAAACAGCACCCAGGAGCAGGGGGACAGTGTGGGGACAGCGTGGGGACAGCGTGGGGACAGCAAGGGTGGCACTGCCACTGCTCACCCAGAGGGGCAGGGGGTGAGGCTTGGGGACACCCCCAGGGCGGGTGGCTCTGGCCAGGCTGGTGCTGGTGCCTCTCCTCAACCCCTTGGCAGCCAGGCCAGGCTCTGCTGTCACCCACCTGAGCTGCCGGGAAGGGGACACCTGGCAGGGGTGGCAGCTCTGAGGTCACTGCACACAGAGCAGCCAGGCTGGCTTTAACTCTTTCTCCCCATTTTTCAGTGTTTTTCCCAGAGATGGAGCAGTTTTAGCTCCAGTGCTCCTTTTCCTCTGCAGTGACACACAGGGACAGGCAGGTCCCACTGAAGGTGACAGCAGCCACCACCACCCTTGAAACAGAGGCACAGAAAGCTGGGGGCTCACAGAGACCCCCCACTCCTGGGGAAAAGTTCAGGAAGGTGCCAGGCTCACCTCCAGACCTCCAAACCCACCTCCACACCCCCAAACCCACCTCCACACCTCCAAATCCACCTCCAAATCCACCTTCACACCTCCAAATCCACCCCCAAACCCACCTCCACACCTCCAAATCCACCTCCAAACCCACCTCCACACCTCCAAACCCACCTCCACACCTCCAACCACACCCCCTCACCCCTCTCAAACCCCC